CCCCCCCCCCCCCCTTTTTACCTACGTGCATTGTACACATAGACTCTAATTTGTTTCCACCTCAGTGTGTATGTACTATAGGAATGACCCCCCAATCCCTATATTCACAAATATAAATTGCTATCAACTGTAATGATCACTTGAATGGTTCAACTGAGACCAAACTACTTACTTTAAAACATTTCCATTGATGCCCTGGTTAAGGCCACAGACCACCATGATCTGCAAGGCTAGGAAAAAACCTATAACGGTAAATCCTAGCTTTGGATTTCTGTAGTCAAAAAAAAAAAAAAAAAAATTCTTAACAAAAAATTAATTATGCAATTAATTTACATTTCCTATGTTAATTTCAAGTCTTTAAGTATGGATGTACTGTTCTTTTAAAAGACAAATTTTGAATGAAGGTGAATAAGGAAAATGATTTGTGTCTCTTCACACATTTTGAGGTTTACTTGTGCAGTTGAAAAAAAATGTAAAGCATTATTACATTACAATATCATTGCTTTTTTAAAAAAAAAACTTTTATGTGGGGCAGACTCATTGTTGTAACTCATTCTATTAGATTGTTAGAATGATATTTTTTAAGTTCATAATAATAGTTAAAATTTGTATAGATATTGCTCCAATATCAGAAAATTGTATGTTGTTACATGTTATAAGGACCAAAAGATATAGACATTCATGTGTGCCCCTTCTATCAAAATTTACCAGCCTGCTTCCTCTGCTGTTAGAAAATCGAATATTCACTCTTAAAGTCATTATGGGCGTTATGGAAGTGAGGTGTGACGACACAGGTCAATGTCTTTGTGTTTGAAAAAATGCTTTTTAAAAATGACTCACTTTAAAATGATATTAATCAGAATTAATTTCCCTTTGTTATTTAATTTGCTGAATGTGATATTAACAATGTAATCAAAAACGTTTTCCTTTACTTAGATCAATGCGAGAATCTTCTATGTTAACACTGTCTCCAACAAGCACTAAAAACAAGTATCTAAATATAATTAAAGATGAAACAAATAGCTCCCAGGGGTTAGTTGGCTGTTTAATGGTTCAGTAATTTGACTTACATGAGCAGGGGTATCAGTATCAGAGGTGATAACA